TGAGGGAGGGAGGGAGGGAGGGAGGAAGAGGGGGAGAGAGAAAACAGACCAAAGATAAATCTAGTTTACCAAATATAGAAATATACGATTATTTTCTTAATTATTATCCTCCTCTCTCCTTTTTTCTCTATGACCCCATTAGTCCTTCATCAAGCGGCCCCCTTCCTCTAACCCTCGAACGTCCTCCTTCTCTGTCTCTTCACGTACTTCCCTTTCTTCAGATCAACCCAACTCAGTCTCAGTTCTAATCCCCAAAGAATATCTCCAGACTCACCTTCTACTCCTCAGCCTTTAACGTCTGAATCTCCTTGTCCCCTCTCTCCCACGTTCTCTTCCTCTTTAATTAAATTCTTTGAGATTCCTTCTCTCCATTCTAAATATTATTACAATATTATTGAGGCAATCCTAACTCCTTACATATCTTATTCTCTCCGTTTTCTCAATTTTTACCCTTCCCAACAAGGTCTATGTGATCGATTCAAATTATGATCTAGGTGAAATTTGATCCATAATTTCCAAAGTTGATTTTCTTTATGCCTTCTCCCCGATTCCTTTGACTTGATTACGAAATCCTGGCTAACTTTTTCTTAATTTCTACTTTCTTTCTTCATAGAATTTCAGCTAAAAGAATAAAATTCTGCTTCAATAACGTAAATTTTCAATATAAAATTTCAGTCGGATATATATTGCCATATATTAATGATATCCGGCTATCTGATCGGATAGTAAAAAAAAGTACCGGATAATATCAGATATTTTCCGAATATCCAGTGTATCTCTAATTGGGCATGGATTTTTAAGCCTATTTTCTCTTTTGCAAATTAGTTTACATTGAATATTGTTGTATACCTATTTTTTTATCGCTACACTATAATCAATCCAGAAATGGATTGTTAACCAATCGATTAACCAGCGAGGAATTGATAGAAAGATTCGATTACATCGATCGCTTGATCGAATTCCGTTTAGTTTGTTGCATGCAAATCATACTTTACTTAGTATCTGTTAGTATCCACTGAATTGCGCATAACACACGTCATTAGGAGATTGAACGTGTGCTCGTTTCATTGGTAAATAAAAGTTATCAAATCGAAATTATGCAAGTTTCTTTACAGTGTGTATGCTCGGCCCACGATGATAAAATTTGATAATTTTTTTACATAATAATTTTAACCGACGTTTCTTTTTTAAACTCGTAAAGTATAGTATACCAAAAATAAATCTTTTCATCATTTTCGTTCATATTTTCTATATTTTTTCTCACGTCTCAATTAAAACATAAATCTAAATCACCAATTCCACATTCAAATGCTGAAAATATTACTTTTTAAATGATGACATTTGTTGAAATCGGACACGACCTTTTGCGCATGCATATATGTATCCAATACAATTTAATATACATATTTTTTTTTATAAATATAAAAAAAAGTTAGATATGTATATATCAATACAAGCACATTGTCGTAATTTGCATATGCAAAAGCTTCGATAAAAATGTAATCTAACAGAATGATAAATAATTTATTAATACAAGAATTTAAAAAGAATGCCATAATTAATTTATTAAATAAAAATAATTAAATCAAAAAATCTTAAATAACAAAAGTAGCACTATAATGACATTTATTATTGCATTAATTAAATTATTATAGCTCGTTGAATTAATATAATTCATATTAATAATAATAAACTTGACACTCAACAAATATCTAATATATAATAACATATGATAAGTCCTAGATTAAATTTTGATCGAAGGTTGTATTTAAATTCGAACAAATATTGCTTTGTAACAAGAATGTATTTTTTGGGAGCAACTAGAATGATGTATGCATAAAGTAACAAACAATCATAGAAACTGGCATAAGTTATATGCAACATAAATGTAGATCATATAAAATATGAATACAACATTTAATATTATAGCGAACAATACTTGAATGAGAGACACATAATCATTAGACAATAATTAGTATAACTGACAATTCATGCATCATAAACATAATGACAACATGATGTGTAGCAACAATCTGTTTTAACTTTTATACCTTACTTGTTTATCTGCCATCGTAAGCTTTTCGACAGGATATTCACATTTATAATAAATTTGTGTTCATATATATACATATATATTTTAAGGCTCCTGACTAGTTGCGGCTACTATGTTGGAATCGTGACGTGAGAAGCGAGGAATGACACGTTAATTTGTTGCGTGCATTTTTAAATAAAGACAATTTGGATGAAACGAAATGACGAGATCACTTTAAAACACTTGTAAAAATCGATGAAAACTGTCCTTTCTTCCCTTAACAGTCAGTAAATGGTCGTAAAAGGCATGTAAAGTGAGCCTATATTCGGGCAGACAGCTGTTGAAACGAGTAAAATATACGCTTTTACGTGTAAAATTCCAAGATAATTTTTCATCGATAATTACGACTTTGATAAGTACGAGACAAGTCACATTTTTACAATTAAGCAAATTAACGAAATGGCACGCAATGTAAATTTCGTCGTCAAAACATCACTTTTCCACGCCTATAAGTTCGGCCATTTATGGGCAAAAATTAATGAACATTTCAGATTTGTTCAAGGCTAGATTTGTTCGTCATTACGAAGGCCACATTTTATGAGAATTTCAAAACTTTACGTTTAAATTTCAATGAACAGAGAGCGAGTGAAAAAAAATTTCTTTTTTCGGTGTTTTTTATTTTTTTTCTACTGAACTAATAGATCGATTTTAATGTTCCACGTCTCATTTTGTAAATATTTCGAATACCTACATTTTTTATACCGAATTTTTTTCCATACAATCAATATCTTTCGTTTTATAAATGAAAAATATGCTTTTTGCAACTATTCGATTTTTTTCCATATATTTTCTTCACACGTCTCGAGTCTCAAATATACGCATTTCTTTTCTGATGGCCTTTCGAGACTTTCGTGAAGAGAAATGCTGGTTTATAATTTTTTTCCGATAAAATTCTACTTTTATTGAACTATTGCTATTCGAGTTTATGAAGGAGAGGTATACTATATAACGCGCATGAAAAATCGTAAACAATTAAATATCTCGTAAACTGTTGCATTTTAACATGATTTATACTCTGGATTAATGGGAGAGGTACACTATTATTACAATTTATTAAAACTTATATGTTATTTAAAATGTTCCCCGCCCCTTATTGATGCCTAGGGCCGCCGTGCGAGCGAGATCGCCGAGAAAGCATTTTCGGTCGCTTGAAACAAGTGCGAGAAGGAGCTCGCTGTTTCGTTCACTCTCGGCGCGCCGCAGGCGAGCACACGGACATGGGTTCCTGCTTAAGTGTGTGGCTATCGGTTTCGCCAGACCGCCGTCTAATTCTGTATCGCCACCGCAGAGTATCGTTAACGCAGAGTATCGTCAACGCAGAGTTCTTGGCTAAATAGTCAGGAGCCTTAAGTAAAATAAATTAATCCCTTAAGGGAATATTAATCGCTTAATTATTTAAATTACAGATCATACGTTGGAAAATAGGAATGAGATCTACATGATCTCGAATGGTATTATTCTTTCGAAAAAATGAATACGAAGAATTAGGATATACGAGGTCTGTTCAAAAAGTATCGCGAATTTTGTGTTTTTTCAAAAATTATTTATTTATTCATGAATATCTATTTTGTCCCCTTCAAAGTAATCCCCATCAGATATTATACACTTGTGCCAACGTTTTTTCCAATCCTCGAAGCACTTCAAAAAATTATTTTTTGTGATCTTGTTCAGCTCCTCCTTCGATGCCGTCTTTATCTCCTCAATCGTAGCGTAGCGTCGTTCTTTTATGGGCCTCTTCAGTTTCGGGAACAAGAAAAAGTCACAGGG